GTGTAATAGTCTGTCTGCTATATTAGACCTGGTATAATAGTCCATCTACCTGCTATATTAGACCTGGTATAATAGTCCATCTGCCTGCTATATTAGACCTGGTGTAATAGTCTGTCTGCTATAATAGACCTGGTATAATAGTCCATCTGCCTGCTATATTAGACCTGGTAGACTCCAAACTCAAAGCACCTTGCAGGAGAAATACTGAGCATGAGAGATCAGGAGGACGTACCCAGACTGTGCTGGCCACACTCAGGACGAGGCAGGCAACCTTCAGGGAGAGCATCTTTCCTGTGTCTAAGGATGGCTCATGAGGGTCACTGCAGCCAAAGACAGGAGAACTGACTACTCTCAGCTCCTGGCCTACTTAAGTCTGCAGGAGGCTGAGTTAATCATCACCTTTGTCCTGCTCAAAGAGCCAAAGCTCACACCGAGTCCTCTGCTCTGACCATAACGCTGGCATCCCAGAAATTCTTGCTCAATTCTCTGTAGCTTGTTTGCTTCTGATAAGTTGTTGCAAATGGGAGCACTTGGTTGTGCAGCCAGAAGCTGGGGGGAGAATTCCACATTCCAGGAAGTAGGGGACCATTTTCACACCGGCAGGAGGGTGCGGGGAGTTAGGACATTCTCGCTATCACTTCTGTGAACTAGAGATATAACCAGTGACATCTGACTGTGTGTAGGATTCAGAGTTCATCGGAGTTTCAAAATGGCTTGTATTAAGCTTATTTTAAACATACGGTTTCCTTCCGCTCATGTGTCAAAATAGCAGTCACTGGTGCCAACCACCTACCTCCACACTCCCAACTCCAGGTCCCTGGCGCTGTGCTCGTATGAAGTTTACTTGTCATCCTTGGAAATCGGTGTCCTCCATTAAAGAATGAAGGCAATGACAACCTACTACATATGTTAGTGAACAAATGGGTGGATTATTTCAAGGTTTTCAGAGTAGTGTTGGCCACCGCTGCCTGGCAGAAAGTGGTAGCCGTTAGTGGAGAACAGAAATGTTCTGGAAAGTGCCCTTTCCTCCCTCACTGTGCCTCTGGACATGGGCTCTCTTCACTGATTCTCCATCTCCACATCTGGTTCTTCTGGGCTCAGTGGAACTCTGTGTGACCCACTGACCCGCTTCTGTTTCTCCCCTGCAAAGCAATAGCTGGATCTGGACCTGACTCTTCCTGCATCATTCATTCACAACTCCCCACCAGGGAAGCGGCCCACTACCCCTCAGCGGGTGACTCCAAGAGATTATTGCTCAGCCAGGGAAGAGAAGAAAATCCTGCCTCTGGGGAGCTATGCATGAGCCTAGAGGACACCACACTGAGTGAAATAAACTAAACAGGAAGACATGATTTCACATCAATGTGAATCCTAAAACGTGGAACTCAGAGATGGGAACACAGTGTCGGTAGCTAGGAGACGAAAAATGAGGGAAATCGGAAAGGAAGAAAAGAAAAAGATAGTTAAATGGGGTGCTACAGATGCTCATTAGCCAAACGGGGGCTATTTTACATCAAGCATATACATAATCAGTCATGATTCAACAAAATTCAACAACGTGAGAAGAAGCCTTTGACTTAAGTTTGTTTTATTTAGTAATAAAATCTGAGAGTGACTAGTTAAATATGAACTCCGACAAACAGTATGTCTTAGTGCATGCATGTCTTCTGCAATATTTGGGAGATACTTATACTAGAATGTTGTTGTCGTGCATGTGAAATTCAAACCTAACAGGGTATTCTGTTAGCTGCAGCCGGTCCTCCTTTGTCTGGTCCTGGTCCTCCATGAAGCCACTCCTGGTCACAGCAGCCATGAGCATTTACTGAGTGCTTACTGAGCACCCAAATGCTTGCTGGACATTCATTCTACTAATCCTCAAGGGTCGTTCCTCGTTCCTCTTTTCTTAGCTCGGTTATCTCTAGTGGCCTTGGTCATTGTAGGGTATTGTCTGACTCTTCCACTAGAACAGAACTGAAAAATTGAGCTATTTTGCTTGTTTTTGCAGTCTACCGGAGAGGTGCAGACCCTCGTCGAGCAAGCAAGCATGAATGCATTCCTCTGCTCCAAACAGAGCAGCTCAGACATGCCACGTTTGCTGCAGACAGATCAAAGCTCTCATCCAGCTAGCAAGCTAGCAAGGCAACGTCAGTCTACACTGAGGAAACTTCCCCAGCTTTTTAAAGTTGGCTTCAGAGCTCAGAGGAAGCCCTGGAGCCCATTGAGATTCCAGACAACAGTTCCTGAGGATGCTGGGAACATTTGCCCCAACACACTGTATCATCAACGTGAACAAAATGGCCTGGACGGGAAACCCTCTCAAAAGTTTTTTTTTTCTTTCTTTCTTTTTTTCCTAGGTCTGCAGGAGATTCCTTTCAGGTAAATGGACAGATCATAATCTTCCTGAAAGCAAACTAACAGAGACAATCTTATTGGAAGCCACCACTGTGGAGCCTGTGGAAGCATTTCCAAGGACGGTGCCCTTGCTGTTTCAGGGTCCCTTGGAGTCACTTCCTGACTGCATCCCAGCATCTGTTCAAAAGGTCCTTCCTCCTCCCTTCTTCTCTCCTCCTCTTCCCCTACCTCCTTTCCCTCTTTCTTCTCTGACCACTTCACCCGGAGAGCAGCCACCCGGAAGTGGTTTCCCACACCTCTGTATTGCTTTCCCCTGTGGCACTTTATTATATTAGACAATAGAGCAGCAGCAGAGGGTGCAGAGTGATCCTGGGCAATTACAGCAGGATGTAATGTCACCTGAGAAATGGCACCTACTGTTGTTCAAGAAGGTCCAAGAGCCTGTAACCAAAAGCTCTGTATTTTCTCTCTAGTGCTAGGATTCCTCAAATAGGCACTCGGGGGAATAGCCTTGACCTGGTTCTTTATTTTCCTGTGTGTGTGTGTGTGTGTGTGTGTGTGTGTGTGTGTAGTGTTCCGCCCTGTGGCACTCTCTGTGCCATGACAATCATGCAGGCTCACAAGGTACAGCTAAGACAATAGTCTTCACTTTCAAAGAGCAAATGGCAAGAAGGGTACTTTTCTAACTGCAAAAAAATTAATCGTAAGAAATTTTCTGTGGCATAATTCTGATGGCTTTACCCCCTAGAAAGTCACATTGCTTTTCTTAGCCCTGTGGGGATATTTGATTTAGATAGCTTTTTCAGATAGTCTCATTCTACCGGTTATAAACAATCAGAAACAAGAATTCACAACTTTGACGGGCATTCATATCGCAAACTATAAAAATCTATGTGAACATGTACATTTACTTTTTCCTAATAGCAAGAAGTGTTGGCACGTCACCAGGAGAGACTTGGTTAAAACAATACTTAAACACACAACAGGAAAGTATAAAACACGTCCTAGTTTTGGACTGACCATAAGCAGGAGCTTTTGGCTTTTGGTCCTAAGTTTGCAGGACCTTTGTCTGGGTTGTACAATAGTGGTCAGGTTCTAGCAGGGATTTAGTCAGTAGACGCTGTCATCAGGGCTTAGCCTTTGTTTGACCTGCAGTTCCCTGTATTTCTCAGCTATTGCAAAAGTTTGTTTTTTGCCTTGGTATCACTGAGAAAGGCCAACGAGGCTACGCCGATCCACGTAGGAGGGACCCAAGCAGCATTCGTTTGAAAACCTGTCACTGCTTGGGCTCCAGGTGGTCATTTCTAGTAAGAAAGTGGGAATTTCCATAAACGCACAGAAATGATTACGATCACACGTAGGAAAGTGAAAAGGAGACCCAATGGGTAATTTTTGTTTGACTGATTAATCATGCTTGATTCTCTCACCCTACATTTCTTTTTAATATTCTTAATTAGGAAATAAATCTACCCTAGTTCTTAAGATGGAACTCTCTCCAGATTAATGGGCATGTGTGTGAATAATATTTAGCAATTTTAGAGGTTAGTGATATGGTAATCAATCATTCTTTGGGGAGGAAGTTGCTGTGGATTGAATCTGGGCCTTTATTTTTGATTGTTTGGTTTGCTTTTTTGAGACAGTGTCCATGCAGCCTTAGCTGTCCTGGAGTTTACTAAGCAGGTCAGGCTGGATTTGACTTAGAGAGATATATAGAGGATATACTCTGCCTCCTGAAAGATGGGATCAAAGGTGTCTACCCCCACCCCTGGTTGATGGTGCCTCAGTAGTTTGAGGCAGGGTCTTACTACATAGCCCAGATACAGGTTTCCTTGAATTTAGAACCCTCCTTCTCTACCTTCCTAAATGAGGAACAATGGGACGACAGACTTGCCTCACTGCATCTGGCTAATGGTCATTCTCATTCCCTCTCTCTCCACTCAGGCTAATGTCAGTGGCCTCTTACATAAACTCTCTCAGTAAAGTTCCCACTGGGTAGTTATGAGTGTGCGGGGGAGGGGGAGGGACATCTGCAAGATTGCAGCCCTTGAGTTTTCCTGCTTCTTTTAGCTGCATTGTTAATGGAGTATTTTACCTGCAATGTGCGTTCTTAAGATTTACTACTTTTAAAACATTTGATATCTATCGAAGCATAAATATTATTTGTGAAAATTGCAGCCATGGAGCTGGAGAGATGGCCCAGAGATTAAGAGCACTCACTGGTTGCTCTTCCAGAGGACCTGGGCTTGATTCACAGCACCCACATGGTGGTTCACAAGAGTTTGTAATCCCATAGGATCTGATGCCCTCTTTTTTTTTTATTGCTTTTTATTGAGCTCTACATATTTTTCTGCTCCCCTCCCTGACTCTCCCCTCCCCTTCAACCCTCTCCCAAGGTCCCCATGCTCCCAATTTACTCAGGAGATCTTGTCTTTTTCTACTCCCCATGTCGATTTGATCTATATGTGTCTCTCTTAGGGTCCTCATTTTTGTCTAAGTTCTCTGAGATTGTGATTTGTAGGCTGGTTTTCTTTGTTTTATGTTTAAAAACCACTTATGTGTAAGTACATATGATAATTGTCTGTCTGGACTACCTCACTCACAATGATGTTTTCTAGCTCCATCCATTTGCCTGCAAATTTTAAGAATGTCATTTTTTTCTGCTATGTAGTACTCCATTGTGTAAATGTACCACAATTTCCTTATCCATTCTTTGGTCAAGGGGCATTTAGGTTGTTTCCAGGTTCTGGCTATGACAAACAAAGCTGCTATGAACATAGTTGAGCACATGTCCTTGTGGCACGATTGAGCATCCTTTGGATATATACCCAAAAGTGGTATTACTGGATCTTGAGGAAGGTTGTTTCCTAATTTTCT